AGTCACTCATGTAAATCATAAGTGCAAAACGCATATGCTCTAGACTCTTAGAGCCTAAATAAAATAAAGGCTATGATATTTTGTCTTGCAAACCCTTAAATTTTACCTTTGAAACTATTTGTTTTACTTCTTATTTGTAACACTTTTATTTGTGTTTTAATTCAATAAAAAAAAACTTATATTTCAACTATACCTACTTTTATTCTGTCCAGAGGTTGTACTAAATATTCACCTTTTTCTTGTTCTTGTTAGCGTTTACACTACATTTTAATCAACGATCACATAAGACCGAATTTTAATACATTTCCAGAGTAGATTGTAAGTACGTTGGTTATTAGTGTGATATTATAATAGCCTGTACGAGGATGCGTCTATCGGCTGGGAGAGCTAATTATTGATAGAGGAAATCTGATGCCAAATAAAGGTCAATGAACTATAAACATGGCATAAAATTCACTACATCATAAAGTTGTATAATCACATTGTACAATGGACGAGCTTAATAAAGGACTATAGTGATATGTTAATTTTAAATGCAGATATATTTATTGAGCGAAGATCTTATACGCCGACTCTTGTGCATTTCGTAATACGCAAACTCCTCCTAGACGGCTGAAGCAATCGTTTTCAATTTTGCGATAAATACTATATCGGTAAGTGCCAACATCTATATGGCGTCAAACATATCTCTTAGGAATCCGCCCCACGGGCCCTTAAAGTTTCAATGTAATCCTATGGAAGCAGTATTTAACACATAAACAAAGGCACAAGAACAGCTGGTGACTTTTGAATGACGTAGATCAAGAAATAGCTGATAGGTAGCATTTTTCCACGGATATTAGAACAGAAACGGATTAGATCATAAATAATATAATCAAAATGACGTCATTAGCATGAATTGTAAAGTAATAGCCTTAACCTCGTGTTTCGACGTTTATTGACAGTTTCATTTTGAATTAAAAAAAAAACTTGTTTGCTTTGAGTCCATCCAACTAAATTAACAGTTGAAGTTGTGTTTCAAGGCTTGTTCTAGGCTCACTTAGGGAAACCTTATGTAATATTTTTAGTAACCCCTATATTAGTGATGAATTGGTTTGTGAATTAGTGTATGTTTTTTTTTTTTAATTGGGTTTTCTTTTACGAGTTTGTTTGGCTCTTCTACCCGACAGATTTTCATGATTGAGGTCTTAAATTGAAGGTATGCACGCACAGATTCCACATCAATCATTGGCATATATATATCTACAGTCCCACTTGGCTTATACGTAAACGAAATTCGCTCTCCATATATTTCTTATTGGATTTAAATTTGGGTTTTCTTTTTCGGCTTCGTTTGGATCTTCTACCCGAACGATTTTCATGATTGAAGTCTCACAGATTTCCCATCAAGCATCGGCATATATTTATCTACAGTTCCACTCGGCTTATACGTAAGCACGATATCATACTGTGCAATGTCATGGTGTTAACTAGTAAATAGTCGCTTGTTTGAGTAGAATTATTGAACAAAGTAGTTGAATATTTTAAACATACGGAAAATTGTCTATTTACAATTGGAAGCAATAGTTGATTTTATTAATACATTGCACATAATCCAGGTGGACTTATCGATGGTGGGGGGATTGAATATTTACATTCACACGTCGGCAATGATAGGGCCACATAAAAACGGTCCCTGCCACATCAATAATTAAATTGATAATTCGAGTTCCGTGAGGGCACTTATAAGTTGCTTGATATGATGCTTAACTTAATTGCACGATTATTTGCTTGCTACATGTAGGTGTGATTTAATACTCTTGTACTCTAACAATAAATTATTACATTGCACGGTCATATCCAACACAAGCAATACGATTTGTGACATGCAATCACAAAAATCAGAAACAAGCTGAAATCGAAATCTGTATTGGCAATTAAATAGCCTACAGAGCCACCAAATATCAATTTAATAGTTCAAAGTATTTTGAGAATTAGTTTTCTAGAAATACTGAGACATAATTACTACAACATCCATCACATAACTTAATTATCCATGGATTTACCTACTTTACTATTATAATTTTAATCAAAACTAGCCCGTGCTTCGCTACGGGGTGAGAATGAAGAAAAGAATAATTCAGTTTTTAAAATCTACTGAAAGAAATCGTTACAACACACTTGCCAGGAAACATATAGGCAAAGCTCGATCGTACTTATTGATTATTTAAATGCATATATTTTCTTAATTTATTAGCATACTATCACCTTATATAGTGTATTGCATTTAAAATATATGCAAAAGACTAATTCATTGGAGGGAAATTAAGATTTCCTAAACAAATTGGGCTTTTATCTACATACATATTTTACTTTATAAAAAGATAAGTTACTTCAGATAAATACAGTATAAGCCACAAAGAATACAACCTATTTGTTCCATAATACTTAATTCTATGTTCTAATAGCAAACAATAATATGTTAGCCTACTGAGAGTATTCTCAGAAGATTAACTCTTCTATTAGGAGTATTTCATTCTATCTATGTTTGATAATATTGTTGTCATGATGGTTAAATTTAAAAAAAAGGAGATGTAAAAAAATAATCATAGCATATATTTATGGCCAATACATACGCTAAGAGAATTGTAAAACTATACAAAGAGTGCTTCAAAGGGCATTTTGAAACTCCATTGATAAAATACAAACGGTATGTTAGTAACATGCCTTTACAAGATGTAAATTAGAACAAAACTAAAATGAATTAAAAAATCCGTTATACGTAATGGCTAATTTATGTGACAATATTTATCTAAGATAGAGCGAATTAAAATGTTGTTTTAAAACATTGTCTGAATATACGTCTTAAATATGATGTTGAAATGGTTTTTGGACAAAAAATACACAGATTGTTTTAATTGGGATTGTTAAAATTACTGATTGATTACAAACAATATTTTACTAAATATCTTTATGTAACATTAACAAAATTTAAAAGTAAAATAAAATGGTTTAAAAACTATTTTTCAACTTAACAGCAAAAATTTGAGTTAATGTTTATCGCAGCAAGAGGTAATAAGAACACGTGGTTTTTTAACATCGACTAAATATAGCTATTAAATATTATTGAGGTTGGAAAGGTTTTTGATCGCTGCAGATTACTTGTTTTCCATTTTTTTTTTTTAAATTACTTGAATAAATTGCACATTTCATTTAATTATTTATAACATAGGCTAGTCCAAAGTTAATCAGAAATGACATTTTATACATACATACTATATTCATATACGTTGCAATGAAAAGAGATTTTATTTTTAAAAATAATTCATATCACTTAAGAAACCCTATTGCCGTAGCTAGTATTAAACCAACCAGCATAAAAATACTGTTAAACATTAATAATATTCCAATTATTAAATAATTAACCTTTACAACAAAGGTTATAAATCTTTTTCTATAATAAAAAATACTTGCAGTTCTTTTTAAACTTACTTTACGTTTTACAAAAAAATTTTTGGGGTGAGGTAAGCATAAAAAAACAAGCTAACAATTATTTGTTTTTTTACAATAATACGTAGAATAAAACAATGAATAATTTTATTTAACCCGTGTTTTTCTAAGTAGGTAGTTTGGTTACTTTTCAATACAGATCTAAGCTGGAGTGTGTAAACTTTTTCCCCGACATTAGCAACGCGGCTGGTTACGGCGTACATCGCCTACAATCTGAGAGACGCAACAGTTCTAGCATTTTGGAACTTCCGATCTGACTAGTGGCGTTTTGGAACTTCCGATCGGCAATATAAACGTTGGATCTTACGATTTTGGAACTTCCGATCGGCAATATTTTCTTTGGATCTTCCGATTTTGGAACTTTTGAAGACCATCCATCTCAACGAACCTGCATTAAAAGCTGATCTAGCTTGTAGAGGCGCATGGGAGACTCAGATGGAGGCATTGTTTGATGTTCGTGTCGTTGACACCGATGCTCCATCTTATGTCTCCATCCCTCATCAACAAGTTAGAAAAAAAGCTGAAGATGAAAAAAAGAAAGTACACTAAAGCTTGCGAACAACGACATGCATCATTTACTCCTCTTGTCACAAGTGTTGATGGAATTTTTGGGAATGAGTTCCAAATGTTTTTAAGGGTTATGGCTGAAAAATTATCAGAGAAATGGAAAAAACCATACAGTTCAGTTTGGTAATAAGTTGGATAAGATCAAGAACAATTTGTGCTGTTTTAAGGTCAACCAGTATGTGTTTGAGGAGAACAAGAAAGAAATGGCGGTCAGCAAGAGAATTTGAAGATGAAGCTGGGATTCCAAATTTTTTCGTTTAAAAATGTATTGTTAATTTCTAATTTTACAGTCCTCTACTCTTTTTTGTAAAATTTCTATTATAATCTGAAGACTAAACGTATTAATATTTGTAAAAAAAAATTTAAAACGATTCTGCAATAATTGTTTGTTATTAACCAGCTATAAAAAAAATTGTTTCACAAGTTTACTTTTTCTCTTCTTCAAAATGTTGGTTTTGTTTGAAAAAAAAAGTTTTATTTCAAAGTTAACTTGCGGTATCAAGTCTGTTGAGTTACACTTGTTTTGAGTTGTGTATTTACATTTACAAAACTCTTGTACCTTGGTTGTCTTGGTTATCAGTGTCTTCTCTAGGATACTATTTCACATCACAGTAGTAAACTTTCAAAGTTGATGTTTATGTGCTTGGTGTAGTGTGTAGTGGAAGTGGGTCCTGCTAATTAGTTTTTCAAAGGTGTATTTTTGTCTTAGCCACTAAAAAATCACTAAATATTGGGAGCACTTACAAGCTGATGTGTTAGGTGACAGCCAACCATTACATATTTAACTCCTAGGTTGCAGCCCATGACAGGCATAGCTTTCAGTCATTTTTTAAAAGTTATATTCGCAAAGATAGTTAAGTATGATTATTTTACTTTTGTGTCCATTATATCAACTTATAGTATATTTTCAGTATCAATAAATTAATTAACAATAAAAGTCATACCTGAACAAGAGGGTAAAGCAGAGCTCGTAACGGACTCTTGTCATTGGTGGAACACAGCAGGTCCACCCAGAGTCTGAGGGAGTTGACATATTGCCAGTTGCAAACTGCCTGGATGCTCTCCTACGTAACAACACTTGTAATTAGGGATTGGTAGGTTTTTTCAATCGGTTGTCGGCTTCACCGGTTTTTGGAAAAAAAACCAGACCGGGTTTAAGGAAATGTTGGTTTTACAATATTACAAAATAAGTCTATAATCTATACTTATAATTTAACAGTATCAGCAATCTGACACATACTTTCTCCCATTACATTAGCTTGTCAACAACCTTTGTCATGGGTAAGCAAGGAGAGTAACTATGATTAATAGGTAAAATATAATAACAAATTGTATTAACTTTTGAACTGTAATTTTTACAGGAATGGGGGTATGTTTAGAATTATAAGTTGCATAACAGAAAATTTCAATCAGAATCGGTTTTTTAGAAAAATCCATTTTTCCATTATTTTAGAGATGGGCCGATACCAAAAATTGTCGATACCGATACCGATACCACCAAAGTACTCTCGATACCAATCGATACCGAAACTTCCGATACCATCAAAATAACAGCTGGAATCAAATAAAACATTAATTTTAATATGAACACATTTATTGTCAACGCTAAATAAGCAGAATATCTTCGTTTATACATACACATTTTTGTATCCATATTAGTGTGTTATGTATAATTTAAACAGACCCTATCCTATTTGAAACACAACAAAAAGCACAACAAATTGTAATTTGTTGGGATCATCTACACTTTCATCTTGGCCTAGGCCTATATTTTCTTCCCCAACTGTTGGTTTGTTCAATTTCCTGCGAAAAAATTAACATTGATGGTGGAGTTTCAGATGTTTAATGAGGTTAGAAGTCGCGAGAAATATCTTTTTTGAACAGTTTACATTTTGCCACATCACTACTTTCACTAATAATATAAAAAAAGGCCCGTACGTTACTTTTACGCTTACTCATATTAAATAAAAAACTATATCATTCATTAACTAAAATCAAAAGAAATTCAATTAGAACCAATGTGAAAAAACAATAACAAAACCTCAACAGTCAACATACGGATGGATCATACGACATACACTGTAACTGCAACACCACGATTGTGCATATAACAGGGCTACTGCATCTCTAAAACGCAAACTGTGATTGGTTTATCGTTGTCCTCCGATCCAAAACCAGCCAATGAGAAAGGTTCTAATAAGTTAGTAAAGACACTAGCACTCGGTGCGGCGTTCAACAACAATCCAGGTTTCAATGTCGCTAAAACATAGCACGTGATTGGTTGATCATCGTCGCAGGGCAGTAGGTGAGCCAATGAGATAGTGTCTATTAAAATGCCAAGAACACTAGCGCTCGCAGTGGTGATCAACCAAACCAAGTATCCATGTCCCTATAACATAACACGTGATTGGCCGAACATCGTCTCTGGATGGAAAACTAGCCAATGGGTCCTTTTTTATCAAAATGGCAAGGCCACTAGCGCTCGCAGTGGTGATCGACCAAACCAAATATCATCCCTAGAGTTGAAAACTAGCCAATAAGGTTGTCTCTACTACTAAGTAGGCAAACAGCTAGGATTCGTAACAGCAATTTACCCGCTCTGAACTGACTTAATCCGCACTGATTCATACAGTTCAGTGTCAGTATCGGTATCGAACCCAAAACAGGCAAGTATCAAGTATCGGTATTGGCCCACCTCTAGTTTATTTATGGGAAAATAACATAAGTTACAATAACTTTTGAACCGTAATTTTTACAGCAATGGGGGGTTGCACTTGTTCTTGAAAATTATAAGGACCATCACATACTAATATCAATCAAAACCAGCTTTTTTTCAAAAATACGATTAAGTTATCTTTTATTTTATAGGGGAAAATAACATAATTTAAATAACTTCTGAACCGTAATTTTTACAGTAATGGGAGTTATATTATTTTGTTAAGAATTTAAAGGGCTACAACGCTACAACATATTAAATTTTTATCAAAATCGTTCAGGATCCACTCAAAACTCAAACTCAAATTTTTTTACAAAAACTATACTATCTCCATGTACTAAGTACAGGGGGAGAAAGTAAAAGGAGAAATAGAATAACATTTTATCATGCTCAAGTATTTGGTGCTATTAATACAACATTTTAATTTATTATTTAGAGAACACTAAAATACTTTTTGCTAAAATATTATCATTTTAAATCTATTTTACGAATAAAACGCATTTGAAATTTGCTGAAAATTTAAACCCAATGATCAAGTAAGTGCTTCAAATAACTTTTAAATTATCACATTATAGATCTAAATGGCTTTATAAGTTTTACTTTTAAATACAGTCTCTTTTTATCGAATTTCCCTATAGGGAAGTAGCTATTACCGTAGGTCTCATGGTAAGACTTAAGCCCGGGACCGATTTACTTTTTCATATGATGTCCCCAGAAGCCAAAAACAACATTCGTTCAAATTTTTATATATGTATATATATATGTGTGTGTCCGTGAACACGATAACTTAAGTAATATTTGTCAGATTTTGATGAAATTTGGTTTGAAGGTGTAAGGCAGGATAAACTTGAATGAGTTCGCGAACCAGCATGATCGGACCATGGGAACAGGGTTTTATGGGGTAAAAATTGGTTTTCCTAATTTTTGACCCTCAAAACATAAAATTTCCTAATTTCTCTCTAAACCTTCTTAAAGAGCTTAAAAAAACAAATAATTCAGTATATTAAAGTTTTTTTGTACGGTTATTGGTTACGGAGAAAACTAAAAGAAAATTGTAAATTTAAAATTCCCATGTTATTCTTATGCAGAATATTGTAAAATGTTGTAGTTTGCTTATTTATGGATATATTTTAATCAAACTTGGCAAATTTATTGATTTTATATTAAGCTATAATTATATTACATAAAAACACAATCAATCAATCAATCAATCAATAAAATCTTTATTCAGAACGTACAGATACATCGTACATGAATGCGTCATTATGTTATTTTTAAATAACATAAAGGAATATATTACATAAAGTTAAAAGATTTTTATAATAGCAGTTTTTAGATAAAATAATACATTGCTTAAAGTTAGATAAAATAAATACATTACTTAAAGTTAAAAAAATCATCCAGACTATAAAAAGAATTTCCTATTAAAAATTGTTTCAGTTTCTTTTTAAATTTAATTGTGGATTGCTCCTTCCTTATGCTATCTGGGAGTTGATGGATAAATTTAATGCCAATATACTGAGGACTTTGCTTATTTTGTTTATATCTAGTATTGTAATTGTGGATATCCTGTTGTCGCTCTAATTTTGATTCATTATTTTTTACATAAAGAATTGTTTTATAGATATATAAACACGGAACTGTTAAAATTTCCAAATCTTTGAAATATTTTCTTAAAGAATTTTTGCAAGAGGTTCTTTCTAAATTTAGGATGTGTCTAATAGCTTCCATTTGTAATAATAAAATTCTTTTTAAATTTTGATTACTCGTACCCCCATAAATTTCAATGCCATAAGTTATATGGGAGTGAATGTGGGCATAGTAAACTGTTTTAAGGGTTTGTACATTACAAAAAGGTTGAAGTCTATTAATTATAAAGATTCCAGAACTTATTTTCTTACAAACATGATCAACATGTTTGGACCAGGTTAATGTTTTATCAACTATAAGACCTAAAAACTTGGTGTTATTCTCAAAGTTATTAAAAATTTCATAGTTTTTTTGAATTTTTACAAGAAAATTTAACCAAAGTAGTTTTGTTCTTATTTAGTAAAAGATTTTTATCATTGAGGAAAATGTTTACTATTGAAATGGCATTTTCTATTTTGGATTCTATACTGTTTGTATTCCTGTCATGTATTGACATACTAATGTCGTCTGCATATAAACATAGTTTGGTATTCTGGATTTTATTAGGTGTTCCTGCATACCTCCCAGATAACACAAGAATAGGAACGGTCCAAGAACCGATCCTTGAGGAACCGAGTATTGTACCTGCCTTAACTTAGATTTTATATTGTACAAATTTTGCTTCTCAACAAATCTAACACTGACATACTGTTGCCTTTCTTCCAAATAAGACCTTATCCAGTTTAATTCTTTACCATCAATACCATAATTTTTAAGCTTATTTATTAAGGTAGGCTGGTGAACACTATCAAAGAATAAGAATAAGAACTTTATTCAGCCAGAAAATATTTCATGCAAATACATTGGCACGTCAATTTTATAAATAAATAATATTCAACAGAAGTCCTTAACAGTCCATTGTCTTGACATATACTCTTCTATAAAATAAAATGATCCTTTACATAGAAAATAATTTAATTTAATTTTAAAATCCTTATCACTAAGCAGTCTTATATCTAATGGTAACTTATTGTACAACTTAATTGCAATCATCATTGGTCTTTTATCTGTCTTGGCTAGTCTTACTTTTGGCAAATTAATATTATTACAAAAACGAGTATTATAACTGTGCACATCTTTTCTACAGTCTAATAAATGAATATTGGCTCTAATATAAAGTAGACATTGTTGTATAAATAAAGAAAACAAAGTCAAAGATTTAAACTCCTTGAATAGATGTTTACAACTATGACACATATTTACACCAGCAATGACTAAGAACTTTTTTTGCATAATAAAAACTTCATTTGCATGAGGAGAAGATCCCCAAACAATCAAACCATACCTTAAATGGCTATGAAATAGTCCATAATAAGCCTGTATTAAAGAATTCTGATTCAATTCACCACACAAACATTTCATAGCAAATATACTCGAACTAAGCCTTGCCTTTACCAAATGAACATGATATTGCCAATTTAGAGTAGTATCAAAAGTTAGTCCCAAAAACTTTGGATGCAGATTTTCATTTGGCATCTCAGGAATTTCTCTAAGACTAAATACTACAGTTGATGTTTTATTTAGAATTAAATTATTTGCTGTGAGCCAGTTCTCAACAACATTTTTATTTAACTCACAGTTTTCTAAAAGTTGACTATAGTCTCAACTCCTGGTGATTACCGTGGTGTCGTCTGCGTATAAAACAATATCTGTAGGGAC